TACAAAGCACATTTAAGCAAAAAAAAGAGACATTTCAAACATCAGATAAAGTTGTCTATGGAGCAACTTGATTCAGCCCAATGTGCGGCGGCGTAATTTCGTGTTCGATACATTTGCATAGAGAACATTCCGCTCAAACAATAGCAAGTCGACGGCGGCCAGACTGAATAATAAAAGCATTGCATGAAATTTTAATAAAATATATGAAGTATTTCTTTATTCTCTTTTTGTTCTTGTTAATATATTTAATTCTAGAGAACCAATCTTTCATAAGTTTAAAACAGCGTACCATAAGTAAAAATAAATCTCACGTGTTTAGCGTCATCTTCATGTGTCAGATAATTCATTCTCTTAAAACCTTCATTATGTGGAAGAAATCGCAAGGAAAGGCGTTATAAGTTAACGACAAAAGAAAGTCGATTTCTTCGGTTAAAAATCATTACACAATACACTTTATTGTATTGTGAACAGTCATGTTTATATGTATGAGCCTTTGTTACAGTTAAGCCGCGTGAATATGACCTAACTTCTCAAACCTAATATAATAAGTAGCCCAAGCTTAAGCACAGTCGGGAGCTCTTAAGTTAAGTTATTCTTTAAATGGTACAAGCTTAGCACATTTGGAGCACTGCCAATTCAGAACACGGCGAAAATGTCGGATGCCTTTTGAAGGCAAATATTATTACTAAGTTATATTATTTAAGCGTAACTTAAGTATTACAATAATTGACAGAAAAATCTTTGTAATAGCGATTTTACACATATCGATTTAATTTTTATTAATTAAATAATCTAGTATTTTAATAAGGTAATTTGAGCTAAGATCCTAAATGTAATCCGACAAAAAGAAAAAGACACCTGCAGCAAGGTGAGTATTTTTAGAATGGTGACCTATTTCGAGCTACAGGGTGCAGCCCGGCCGGGCAGGCAGGCAGGCGCTCTATTGACCCACATGTACGCAGCGCTCTGACGTCAGAGCCCGATGACGTCAGCCAGTCACGAAAGCTTGCCCGACCTTTGTTTACGATGCAACTTTTAATACTTAAGAAATTCAAAGTTATTCTACACATTTCTACAAATTCCAACATTTCCTTCCAATGCGATATTTATTTAAACTTTAATTTATATCACAAATAGCAATTATTTTATATAGTTTGATACAGCAATTACTTTAAACTTTTGAAACTCAGTGAGCGTTTAAATTTACACGAGTGTCCGCTAGCGGAAGCAGCGTTTTACTTAATGACTATCAAATGCGTTCCCGATGCCTGCATTCAAGCGCTTCGTCACTAAAATGTGCCTCGATTTGGTTAAATGTTCCCACAGTGAATTAAACTGAAATATATTCCATTAAATGTAATAAATGTATTTTCACTTTTCAACGAAATATAAGAGACATATACAAAACTGTTTATTATTAAGATTTACAGTTATCTACAGTTGTTATTTTGACTCTACAGAAAGATTATTTACCTGTGATAATATTGGTATATATGATAATTAAAATTAAGTTGATAGTACACGATTCTTCGTGCAAAGAAGTGTACAAAGTCGCGCGTTGATTCCTATAAGCTAATATGGAAGTGCACACACCACTTAATTTTTAGTTGTACAACTAAACAGTTAAATAGGTTGCGAAACAATAGACAATCAAAAGTTGTGCGATACTTTAGTCAAATGTGCGCGCTGTAACATGCTATCGGTCAATTCACATCTGAATACCTCGGGGTGAACATTCTATTAACCGGTACAAGTGAGCTGCGCTATCTTTGATCTATGATACTGTATGCATCGACGATGCACTCTACCATTTGTATTTTCATGCTTTATTTGCTTAGGTCAATGACTGCCCACATTCAATTGTTTCACTGAACCCAGTTTAATAATCATTAAATAAATCTGTCGCTTACAATTGCTGTATACTACGCATATAACCCAAAAATAAAATTTTATTTGAAGTTAAAGAAATAACAGTTAAATGACGTTATGTTAGGATGTAATTATGCCCAGTTCCCCAGCTACGTTTACCCATCCGTTTTTTTGGTCTGATAAAATCATGAAACGCATTTCCGAGCATCGTAACTTGAATTTTACTCGGTTGAAACTTAGGTCGACCGAACACTAATGAAACATTAGGTTATGATAAAAATGGAAACTTCAGAAACCCAGCATTAAAGGTACTAACTAAATAATGCAGGTAAGCTCAATGCCCTCTCGGTCTCGTAGTTGAACTTTACCTTGCATAACCGCACGACTTCAACTTGTACCGAGTTCCTTTGTAATGAATTGTCCTTTTTGTTACAAAAATGTTACCTTTGTAGTGATGAAGTAAAGTTCTCGTTTGTTTCTGAAACAGGCCACCGCACAAAGAGAAATGTATTTTTAATTTTTAAACGTAATTATATTTAACCGCAAGTTAGATGACCTTTGGAGTATTCTGAAATTTC